AGGTACCATATCTATAGAAATGTTTGTGAGTCAAAGCCTGTATAATTTGCATTTTATGTAATCTTGCTCTCACTGCTGGCAGATCATCTGCAAAAAAAAATTAATGGTGTTTACTCTTTCCAGAGATGACTCCAGAGGAAATATCGTATCATTCTTTGCTAGACTATTGAACTGAGATCATTGTTTCAAAATTTAAAGTTTTGTATTGACTAGTTTTAACTGGGGACATGTGCTATAGAAATCTTAGGACTGTATATTTTATTATCTATTATCTGTATCTACCATCATATTATCTATTATGGATGAATCCTCTTTTTTTTTTTTTTAAAGAAAGGAAGGAAATATCAAAACCATTTAATATTTACAAAATTTCTTTGTAGTAAAAGTTCTAGACTAGAGCAGAATGTAGGAGGTCATTGACTCCCCATCATCAGTTCTTTGTGTGTCTTCTGAACAAGTATTTGTCTAGCTTTTCTTTCTTGCTGTGGAGATTTTCATAACTGCTATAAGCAATATATTTAAAAATCAAAATATTCTTGCCATTACTTTTCTTCCCCTAGTGTAGATCAGTCCTGATGCCATTCGATCCCATTAGTTCCTGTTGTACCCTCACTAGACCTGGAGAGTAGATGATTGTCATTGTAGCTGTTCTTTGAACCACCTTCTTATTTTCTTCTTTACTTCAGAGTGAACAGCTCCAGTTTCTTCCATTTTTCTGTGTAGAACCTACTTCTGAGATATTTTCCTGTCCTCTGGTCTTTATCAACTTGGTCAGTATTTTTTTGAAGTATGATACCTAGAATGAAGGCAGTACTTCAACTGTGGATGTATCAGTGCCAAACCAAAGGATGATTTCTTGTATTGAGCAGATTCCATTAAGCTTCTCTAGTAGGAAAACATCTTAGTACTTACTGAGTAGTTATGTCCTTAGCATAGGCAAAGTGTTTACTATGCTATCATTACACTAGGTTAGCATTAGTAGAATATAGTAAAGGCTAATGTAAAAAAAATAGAGACCATTTAATGCCTTTAGTTTTCTTGGTTTGATTTGTTGAAAGCTTGCCATTGACAGATCTCCTCTTGATTATTACAGAAATATCAAACAAAATGATGGTTGTAACTCATGTGTTCCTTGATAACTGTACTTTGGTTTGTGTCCTTGCATGCTTGTGTTTTTTCTTTTCTTTTCATTCTTGTTTGATCTTATCAGTAGTTCTGTAAGTCTCAGTTGTGAGCTCTGAGTATCATAATAGAGACATTACACATACATTGCACAGAATATGTTTTACTGATAATGTAACAGTGATACTGCTTTATTTTCGTTTAATTTGTGGATATATACATTATACCACTATATAGGAAGGGAGGCACATTTTAAACTAAGTCTGTGTTTAATTTCAAGCTTTAAAATTGATTGTTGATCTGCCAGTAGAGTTTATTTTGCATCCAGCATATCAGATTTCAAATGGTATAACAGCACGATGCAGATTTTATATCAACTTAATGGAGAGGTAACTATTTCCATGCATGTTAAAATCTATGCTGTAACTCCTGCAAGACTTACTGTAATGATAACTTCAAGAAACAAAAAGATAATTGTTGAAACCATCAGTAATATTTCTTCTTTTGTAGAACTGATGCTTCAGCACATATGAAAAATATTTTATTGTGGTTTTACTTTAAAAACACTTAAAGTGGTGTGTTCATTTGCGAAGCTGAAAAAATAAAATGCATATATATATTATATACAGTTTTTTATTTAGTACGAGAAAATTAAGAGTTGTATATTTTTTGAAAACCTGGTCCATATTAAATGTCATATGCCAAATGTTATATATGTAAGATAAGGGAATTATGGATTGCTATGTTATGTATACATGTAGTTTAATTGTAGGAGAAGGAGTCCTCAAAACAAGAGACATCACTTGTCAGTTACTGATATTCTTCTTACACATGTAAAATCCTAAAAAGACAAGTTTTCTCTTAAAACAGCTGTTGCAAACTTTTTTTCTTACAACGAAAAGTAAACCTCAAAGTCTAAGTTATGTGAAAAGACCACAAGTTTCATAAAAGGACAGCTGTTAGTTCTTTTGAGATGCAGAATATTCAGTGTAGTTTTGTAATCATATCTTATGTGTTTTTAAAAAAATAGAGTTTTACATGTGTGGGTAAACTGATTTCTCTAGGAAAATATTTGGGAATTTGTTATACTATTTTATACTCTAGGACATATTTGTGAAGTAGATGAAAATATGTTTTTAAAGCAACACACATTTCATTTTCTTCTAAAGTCAAGATCATATTGATAATTAAAAAGAGATAACAGAAGTGTGAGAATCTTCCTTTAGGATACTCTATGTTACAGATGTTTAAAAATGATCTTTCTATTTCACCATTTTTATGGGGAAATTCTGTGGATACCTATTGCTATGAGAAATTGAAGTAAAAACTGTGAAGCACTATTGATGTATGCTTTATTGATTAGGAAATGTGTTTTGTCTGATCTAAGTCACTGGTCTGAAACTTTATAATGCAGTTCTCTCACTTTTTGGATGTATTTTCTCACTTGTGATTCTCTAGTGTATTCATCATAAGTGGTGGAGAGCATCTTAAATATTTTTCTATTGTATTTGTCTTACATTTCAGAAATATGCTGCTACAGTTCTGTTTTTGTTAGGTATACTTGTGTCATATTAGCAAACATTACTCAGTTTTTCAATACTCTGTATTTCATTATGATGTGCACAATTTAGCAAAATATTTTCCTCTGGAAAGGATTGACTAAAAGTCCTTTACAGATTGAAAACTGTCATTTAAAAGAGATGGGCTTGGGCAGCACAGTGAAGGTCTGGATGGGAGCCAAAGCTTCCCTGGAATTCAGAGACATGTGGGAGGTGAATACTGTAGTTTGATTTACGAGGTACTCTAAGTTGTAACTTTCACATTAGTACCAGTTGGTATTGTTCATGCCCTCCAGCTTCTGTGGCAGCTACATGGTAGCTCAGCCCTCCTAATCTCCCTGCAGCTCAATCCATCTCTGATTTTATTAACAGTAAACCTCTATCATAGGTTCAAAATAATCCATTGTCATATGGTTTAACTTTCAGTGTTGTATTCTTTGATCTTTTTCTTGCTTTTAGCCTAGTAGCAGTGACTGAAATAGAGCTTATCTTTTAGAAAAACATCCAGTCTTTACTGAAAAATTTCTACTGATGAAAAACTAGTTAGCACTCTTAAGTAATTTCTTTCAAAGGGTAATTAATCACACAAGGAAAAATTGCACTTTACTCCTCATCTAACGTTTAGTACCTTTAACTTCAAATCATCAAATCCCTGTGCTAGATTGTGGAGTCCTCTGTGATCATGTTCCTGTTCCTCATAGATTTATTTATTCACTGTGAATAACTCATACTTTAATTTACTTTTTAATAAACTAAATAATGTCCTTCATGTCTTTCTCAATGTGACTGTTTTCCAGGCTTACAGTCATTTTTATTTCTCTTCTCTGAAGCATCTCCATCTTTTCCCATTTCTTCTAGAGCTGTAAAAAGGAAAATCAGACACAGAATTTCAGTAGTAATTGCACAGAGATAATATGTACTTTCCTATCCAGTTCTTCTGATTACACATCCCAAATTCATACTACATGGTAATCTCAAATTCATATCCAGTATTCCAAGTCATTTTATATGCTTTGTTTCCAAGAGAGAACTCCTACATTAAGTTATATCCAGTTTTCATTATTTGTAAGTCTGCGACATTCAATTCAGGCACAAAAAAACCTGTATTGGGCAGATCAAGACAATTTATCCCAATAACCTGACTGCAACAGGACAGAGGACAGGATGGAAGTCTTCTGTGGTTAAAGTTCATCTTTTGCATTCTATTGTCCTGACTTCTGATTTTCACAAATGTGGGAAACTTGACTGTATAACTTTGTCACATAACTAGTCCTTCCATTTCTCAGGGTGTTTACAAATATGTTGAATTGCATAACTTCAACACAGATCCATGGAACTCCACTAAATCCCACCTGTTTATGGAACTGACATTTTCCTATCCTCAGTTTCCTATCCTTTAGTCATTCTTTCCAATCCATGCAATGGCCTTTGCTATTATAATATAGTGGCTTGGTCTCTTTAAAAGCTATCAGGGAGATACTTTGGAATCCACTTAGACATATCAACTGAATCACCATTGCCACAAGCTTGGTGACTTTTGTAAGGTAGGACTTACCTTAACAGATTCATGGTAACTCCAGGTATCATATCCAGACAGTTGTCTGCTAATTCTGTTCTTTATTACAATCTACCAATTTGTCCAGCATGGATCTTTGGCTACAAGGCCTTGGATAATCCTTGAACTCTTTCCAAAGTTGACATCACATCTCTTGTTTCCCAGGACACTGGTAACATGGCAGTTTGAAGTGAGGGGATAAATGCCACTTGTACTGAAATCGACAGTTTTACCCTGTTGCCTTTATAACTCAGTTGAATACTATCTAATAATGGGAATGTGTTACTGTTCACAAATCTCAGGGTTTTTTTATGAACACTATCCACAGTGGCTTCAGTTTTGGAAAGAATCATCTGAAATGTCCACAATGGAAGATTCCCACTGGAATCTCTAGTTTCTTCCAGAGTGAATACCAATTCAAAGACAGCAGATAGCTTCTCTGAAATATCTGTATCTTCACTGTGTGTTCCTTTGCTTTCTGCAAACACTCCTACAAAGCTCACAATACCTGGCTGCCTAATTTACTAGTTCATTCACAGCAAGCCATGTTAGTCACCTGAGCTATTCACCCCCTTCAATCTTTATGCCATTTACAGAGTTTATCAATAATTCCATTTCTTACAATGTCTGGATTATATAACACCATAAAATCAAAACAGTCTAATGTTTCTTCTTTAGTGGTAGTTTTATTAGTACAAGTAGAAGTGATTAAGTTTTATATTAAATGCACTTCATGCATTTGTTGATTATTTGCTTTATTTTAGGGAGGTAATCCAACAGCAACTGTAATTGCACTGTGTTCAATGAGGGATTTCAATCTGGCTCAAGAAACATGTCAGCTGGCCATCAGAGACACTGGATGTCTTGAAGTGTTAATTAATTTACTTGACACAGAAGAAGTTAAATGTCAGGTCAGTAGCTTTGTCAAATAGAGCAAAGAATATATCTTTCTATGGGAATATTTTTTTCAATTTTCAAAGTTATAGAGAATAAATAAAATATATTTCCTTTTTATTTCTGTATTTTCTTGTTTTCTCCAGATTTTTAGAAATAAATCAATTGCTTTGCTTTCAGTTTCCTTCTTCTGATTAAATTTAAAAGATAAAATGTTTTAGATAACCCAGCATTTTAAATAATGTTAATGTTTTTCTATACTTAAGTAATGTGTAACTTCTGTTGTCTCCCATTATTTAGGCTGGTTCTTTAAAAATCCTGAAGGAAATTAGTCAAAATGTACTGATCAGACATGCAGTTAAAGATCTTGGGGGCTTAGAGATCATGGTGAAACTACTGGACTCTCCAGATAAAGACCTAAAATGCCTGGCAGCTGAAACAATTGCTAATGTTGCTAGATTTAAACAAGCACGAAAGACAGTAAGGCAACGTGGAGGAATCAAGAGATTGGTAAGCATATTAAAATTTGTACCTTTGTCATATGCATGTTTTTGTTGAAAAATTACATCATGTGCTGTAGACATGATTATTGTCGTAGTGTTTACCATAATTAAAAAGCAATAGAATATCAAATTTGCCTTCAGATATTAAAAAAATATGGGGTTTTTTTTTAGGTTGGGCTGTTGGAATGTACTTCAGTGGGATCACCATACCAAGCCAATGATGCCGACGTAGCACGCTGTGGGGCTTTGGCACTCTGGAGCTGCAGCAAAAGCACCAAAAATAAGGAAGCAATCCGTAAAGCTGGTGGCATTCCATTGTTAGCTAGATGGCTCAAATGCTCAGATGAAAACATCTTGATCCCAGTAGTAGGGACACTACAAGAATGTGCCTCAGAGGTAAGTAAACACACATAGCTAAGTTATTTTTAAGCATTATAAGAATTGGCTACTACAAGGAAGTATTAAATTTGACTGTCACTTAAATCAGGGCAGTTATCCCATCAGGAAATAGGTGCTTTGTGTGATTGAAATGTTTTTGAGAGGGTCCCAGCTCCTAATGAAGTAAAGGCCACATATTTTTGTTTAAAAGGCCAGGAATAATATGTGAAAGAAAATGAGTATAAATTAAAGCCTTAATCAGTTTCTTTTTTTTTTTTCCTCTCATTATTTTAATCATACTTTACAAATCTGGCAACCTAAGACTGAAAGCCTTAATCAGTTTCTCTTTTTTCTCTCATTATTTTAACCATACTTTACAAATCTGGCAACCTAAGATGCTATATTCTGGTTAATCAGTACATTTAAATTCTAAAAAACTAACCTACAGGTGTTAAGAAGATCTCTTGCAGTGCTGAGCAGTATGGTCAAGTGTCTTTGTATGTTGAGTAACATGTCTGATCAATTGCAAATACAACAAAAGAATATATGTGATTTTTTAAACAGATTTCTGTGGCAGGTTTCACAACTTGTAGTATATTCAGTTTTTAAATTTGAATACAAGTGTTTTTTACAATGGTCATAAGACTGATTACATGAGTGGGACAGTTCTGTTTGAGATCTTTATTGATGATGTGAACAAGGAGATCAGGTGCACCCTCAGTCAGTTTGCAGACACACCAAGCTGAGTGGGAGGGCTGATCTGGAGGGTAGGAAGGCTCTGCAGAGTGATGGGCTGAGGCCAGTGGTATGAGGTTCAACAGGGCAAAGGGCCAAGTCCTGCACTTGGCTCACAACAATCCCATGCATTGCTACAGGCTGGGGGATGAGTGGCTGGAAAGCTGCCTGTTGAAAAAGGATCTGAGGGTGCTGGTCAGTAGTAGCTGAACAAGAGCCAGCAGTGTGCCCAGATGGCCAAGAAGGCCAATGGCATCCTGGATTGTATCAAAATAACGTGGCCAGAAGGACTAGGGAAGGGATCATCCCCTTGTCCTCGGCACTGGTGAGGCCACACCTCAAGTGTTGGGTTCAGTTTTGGGCCCCTCACTGCAAGAAAAGACATTGAGGTGCTGGAGCAAGACTAGAGAAGGGTAATTGTCTAGCCTGGAGAAAAGGAGACTCATGGGGCACTTGATCACTCCCTCCAGCTATCTGAAAGCAGGTTGTAGCAAGGTGGGGGTTAGTCTCTTCTCCTGGGTAACAAGCAATAGGACCAGAGGAAATGGCCTTATGTTGAATCAGGGAAGGTTTAGTTTTGATATCAGGAAAAATTTATTCCCCAAAACAGTTGTCAGGCTGCCCAGGGAAGTGATTGTCACTGTCCCCAAAGGCATTTAAAATCAATGTAGATGTGGCACTTATGGGCATGGTTTAGAGGTGGACTTGGCAGTGCTGGGTTAAATGGTCGGGCTCAATGATCTTGAATGTCTTTCCCAACCTAAATGATTCTATGTTTTTATGATTCTATATTTTCACTTGTGAAATCACATTTGAAATTTAGGTGTATTGTACTTCAGGTAAAAATATACATGATTTCTTTGGGTCAATTTCAGATGTGGAAGACATGACTTTAAAAAAGATTTTACATTATTGAACACTTTGCCTATTAAAAATTAACTTCTTGAATTACACAGATTTATGCATGTTCCATGAGACACAAACCTGGCAAGTTTTAGAGTCAATAAATCTATATTGAGAAGGTGATGTTTTTGAGGGTTTCTTGTTTGGCCTGACTTGGAAAGAACACTAAATGTATCTCTTACACAGATGCTTCCCCTCTCTTAAAAAAAGATTCCTGTTACAATGCCTGTAGGTTCAAATTTGGGAAAAAAATCACTAAAAAATTTTAATTCTAAGAACATGTTTTTCTAACCTTGTTCTAGGAATAGATCTGATGTTTTTGGCTGCTGGTTCTTGATGAAGTGAGTGGGTACTTCTTGATCCCATTCCGAAGCATCTTTTGCTTCCTTGGCTCTGAGCAGGCAGTCTGGACACCTTTCAGAATATTCTGCATCTTGTTTAAGCCAAGTGACTACAAAGTAGGCATTGCAGCACCTGGTTTTACAGGTGATTTGAAGAGCACTGCAGAGATTTTCTGTATTTGCTTACCTTTGAGATCATCAGTAGTATTTTCAAGGCAATGATGCTTAAGATAAAGTACAGGACTTCTCAATATCAAACCCTAGAATTGAAGCACTCTATTAATATTGTGACCTATTAAATGTTAATGTACAGGATTTAAAAATGCAGTTTATATTTATAGCCAAGTTACAGACTCGCAATAAGGACAGAAGGAATGATTGAGAACCTGGTGAAAAATCTGAGTAGTGAACATGAGGAGCTTCAGATGCATTGTGCAAGTGCCATATTTAAGGTAATTGTATTGTAATCAATAGATCAGAGCCAGGAAGAGCCCTTTGTTTTCATGTGGTTATCGGTTTTAATAAATCTTAATTTCACTATTTCTCTAATGTGTAAGAAATTACTTTATAAAAATATTGTGAATATTTTAGCTGCATATTTAATGTTGCAATTAAGTTCCTACTTGCACTTCTTGTGACCAAGCCCTAAATTGCACGGGTAGCCAGTGGAGAGAGGCAGGGCACACTGTGCAAAGAGTTGCTTTGGTTTTTTAATGTTTGTTTGCCCCCAAAGTGGACAATGTGCTGGTTTAAGCACTGCTCCATATATAGTCCCAGTTTAGTGTCAAACTCTCTTACGAGTCGTTAGCATATTCAGATACTTTAAGGCAATATTTATACTTTTGTCTGTATTAGCTTTTACTAGTTACAATATAATACAGGTAGGTTTTGAAGACATCGTTTTAGACATTTTTACATAATATATGTATTTAATTGTTTTGTGTAGTGTGCAGAAGATAAAGAAACACGTGACCTGGTTAGACAACATGGAGGTCTACAGCCACTATCTGTTCTGCTTGGTAACAGTGAAAACAAGAAACTTTTGGCAGCTGTGACAGGTGCAGTCTGGAAATGTGCAATCAGTATAGAAAATGTGTCAAGGTAAAAATTTAATTCGACAAACATTTATTACATCATCATGTTTTGATTTTATGGGCCTCTATTCTTTTCAAAATTGTTGGGTCATGATTCTTCAAAAATATTTTTTGCAATAAGTTGAGCTTTCAGCTTAGGTTTTATAGCGTTTCAAAACTTGCCATCTGACCTCATCTGGTTAATGAAGACAGTGTTAAGTTCCTAGATTTTAAGGGTCAAGGGAGATGAGTGGTGCCTCCTGTCGTGGTTTAACCCCAGCAGCAGCCAAGCCCCACGCAGCTGCTCACTCACTGCCCCACCAATGGGATGGGGGAGAGAATCAGAAGGGTAAAAGCTACAAAAACTCATGGGTTCAGATAAAGAGAGTATAATAGAGAAAGCAAAAGCTGCACACACAAGCAAAGCAAAACAAGGAATTCATTCACTGCTTCCCGAAGACAGGAGGTGTTCAGCATCTCCAGGAGAGCAGGGCCCATCACGCGTAACGGTTCCTTGGGAAGACAAACACCATCACTCCAGATGTCCCCCCTTCCTCCTTCTTCCTCCCACCTTATATACTGAGCATGATGTGCTAAGGTATGGAATATCCCTTGGGTCAGTTTGGGTCACCTGTCCCAGCTGTGTCTCCTCCCAGTCTCCCATGCATCCCCAACTTCCTTGCCAGTGTGGCAGTATGGAAAGCAGCAAAGGCCTTGACTCTATGTAAGCTCTGCTCAGCAATAGCAAAACCATCTCTGCATTATCAACTCTGTGTTCTGCACAAAATCCAAACATAGCCCCATACTAGCCTCTGTGAAGAAAGTTAACTCTACTTCAGCTCAAACCAGCACAGCTCTAAAGAATAGTTCAGATATAGGACACTGAGTCAGGAGGTGTGCTAGCACATACCAAACTTTTGACATGTAGCCATATCCTTCCTCCTCTCTGTAGCTTACAAACTGGAATCACTGCTGCATGGTAGAGAGAGTACTTAGTACACTTAGCTTGAACGTTTTACATCAAGAGAGACAGAGAGCAAATTATCTCATTCTAGGGTCGATATCTAATACATATTAGGCATATACTGCAGCCTAGGATAATTAGCCTAGATGCCTCTCCTTGACTACAGCAAGGGCTCAGAAAGGTATGGACACCCAGCTTCTAAACGAGTGGAATTAGCTGATGAGAGTCCTGTCATAGGCACCTACAACCTCTCAGTACCAGAGTCCTGGTATTATTTGAGAATATGACAGCAGGA